GCCAATTGAGACACATATTTTTAAATACAGCCAAGGAAGGAATTTGTTTTGCCTAACTATGTATTATTGCTTTTTTTTCCTCTTTTTTTTTTAATGAAGTTGAAGGTAGGAGAGAAAATAGATTTTTGTTAATAAAAAGAGAGGGGTGGTGGGACATGCAACAGATGTGGAAAATTGTGTGCATTTTCAGATGGGGTCACGATATCGTTAGTTTTATTTAATTGTTTTATGTTGTTACAAGAGATCTCTCCCCAAATGGCATCTGTAAATGTCTGTAATGTAAAAACAAAACACATCTACAGAATTTGTTTAAGAGAAAAAGGGATGAGAAAAGAGCCTCCTACTTAGAAAAAAAATATCTGGTAGCTTACTATTTTGCCCTTAAATCCTCGTGAGCTCATAGATGACGTTAAAAGAATGTAAGTTACAATGTACGTGATTGAGACTGGGACCCAGCTCCTGGCAAACAAAAATTCCATAATCTGGTGCCAATCTACTTTCCAACCTTATCTTCCACTGCTCCCAGAGCCAAATCCCTCCCTCCAGCCAGACTCGTCTGTCCGTTGTCCCTGAAAGTGCCTTTTGTATTCTCCCCTTTAATGTCTTTTCTTTCGTCTTTCTCCCAGCCTACATCCCTTCACTCTGACTAATTCTTCCTAGTGCTTAAGGCCTATCTCTTTAGGTAAACCTTTCCTAGTCATTCCAGTCCACAATTAGCTCTCCCTCCTCTGAACTTCAATAGAACTTATATTTGCACCATTCATTAAACATCTGTCTATATCACCTTATTAGTTATCTTTTTATAGGTAGATAGATAACTGCTGAATTACAACCATAGGCACTGTACTAGTCTACCCAGTTAACAGACACTAAAATGTATAACTCCAGGAGCTTACAATCTAGTCAGAAAGGATATCAACTTCCATACCACCTATTTACTCCTCAACTTCTTGAATTCAAAAATCACTAATCTTGGTGCTAAATCCAATTGCTTTTTTTTCCCCTTTCCTTATCTTCTTTCACCTCTCTGCAGTATTTGACATCACCAACTACCTCCTTAATATCCTTTCCTCAGCTAGATCCCATGACTTGCACACTAATGTTTATGTTTCTCCTCCTCACTCTCTGACCTCATCATCCTCCCACCCCTTAATTACAAATGTCTCTCAAGGTTCTGCCTGTGACCCACTTCTTTCATTTTTTTAAAATTCTGAATTAAATCATCAACAAGCACTTTAGCATACGAAAACACATTGATTGATTTGGGAGAGTCAGAATACATCTTTCTCCCCATTACCACTTCCAGACTCTACCTCTATCACCATCAGTCTGCAATGGCTTCTCTTTTGAGGTTCACACTATCCAAATTTATCAACAAATCCAGATGCTGGTGGGTGTTATCCACCAACTCCAAGACTTGTCTTCCTTCTTTGGTGAATTCAGTGCCTGGTTCATTCTTCCTCTCCACCCCAACTCCTGTCTTCTTATTAGCAGATTTGAACATATATAGATGTTCCCTCAAGTATTCTAACTCATTATCTTTCCCCCTAAACACACCTTCCCCCTTCCCTATTACCACAGAGCGCAACACCATCCTTTCTCAGGCTCACAACCTACAAGTCATTCTCAACTTCTCACTATCTTTCACATCCCCCCCCCTCCAAAAGCCAAGCTGATGCCAAGGATTGTCACTTCCACCTCTGTGATATCTCTCAAATATGCCTCCTTCTCTCCTGTGTCACTGCCACCACCCTGATGGAGGCCCTCATCACCGCATGCCTAGACTATTATAATTGCCTGCTGGTGAATCTGCCTGCCTCAAGTCTCTCCCCACTCCAATCCATCCTGCATTTAGACACTACAGTGATTTTCCTAAAGCACAGATCTAATCATCCTCCTACTCAGTAAACTCCATTGGCTTCCTATTTCCTCCAGGATCAAATACAGAATGCTTGATTTGGTATTCAAAGCCCTTCGTAACCTAGCCCCCTCTTGCCTGTCCAGTCTTCTTACACCTTACTCTCCAATGCATACTCTTCGGTTCATGATACTGGCCTTCTGGTTGTTCCACAAACAAGACACTGCATCTCTCAGTTCTGGGCATTTTCTCTGGCTATCCCCATGCCTGGAACACTCTCCCCCCTCAGCTCTGACTACTGACCTCCCCGTCTTCCTTTACGTTCCAACTAAAATCCCACCTTCTACAGAAAGTGTTCCCAAGTCCCTTTTAATTCCAGTGCCTTCTCTCTGTTATTTCCTATTTATCCTATATATAGCTTGCATTGTATATATTTGTTTACATGATGTCTCCCCCATTAGATTCTTAACTCCTTGAGGGCAGGAACTGTCTTTTGCCTCTTTTTGTATCTTCAGCGCTTAACACAGTGCCTAGTTCATAATAGGCACTTAATAAATGTTTACTGATTGATTGGAAACAGAGTAGATGCCTACCAATTAGAAAATACCTAAATAAATTGTGGGTTTTGTTGTTATTATTCAGTCATTTCAGTTGTGTCTGATTGTTTGTGACTGCATTTGGGGTTTTCTGGGCAAAGATACTGAAGTGGTTTGCCATTTCCTTCTCCCACTCATTTTACAGATGAGGAACTAAGGTAAATAGTGTTAAGTGACTTGCCCAAGGTCACACAGTGATTAAATGTTTAAGGCCAGATTTGAACTTCCTGACTCCAACCCCAGCACTCTATCTACTGTGCCACCTAGTTGCCCATAAAATAAATTGTGGTAGATAAAGATAAAGGGACATTACTCTTCTATAAGAAACGATGAATGGGGGCAGCTAGGTGGCGCAGTGGATAGAGCACCAGCTCTGAAGTCAGGAGGACCTGAGTTCAAATCCGGCCTCAGACCAAACACTTGACACTTACTAGCTGTGTGACCCTGGGCAAGTCACTTAACCCCGATTGCCTCACTGAAAAAAAAATGATGAATATGATAAATACAAAGAAGCATGGAAAAACTTAATATGAACTAATACAAAGTGAAGTAAGCAGAACCAAGAAAACAATATACACAATGCCCTCAACAATGTAAATGGAAAGAACAAGAAAACAATTGAAAGTGAATATTGTAAAAATTATAAAGAATATGCTTTAGCCACACGATGAGGTAGGAGAAGACACTCTCCCCTCAAATCTTTTTCTCTTCTCTTGGAGAAGAGGGAAAAAATATCATCTGGTCTTTTTTTATCAGAAATACTGGAGAGTCCTCCATTCTACTAAGGGAAGGGAACAAAAGTTTATTAAGCACCTACTATGTGTAGGCACTGTGCTGAGTACTTTACAAATATCTCATTTGATCTTTACAAAAACACAGAAGTAGGTACTATTATTATCCCCATTTTACAGTTGAGGAAACTGAGACAGACAGCACTTAAAGTGACTTGTCCAGAGTCATATAACTACTAAGTGTCTAAGGTTGGATTTGAACTCTAGGCCCAGGGCTCTATCTACTATCCCACCTGGCTACCTCTCTGAACTCCAGTGATTCCCTCTTATTTCCCAGATCAAATGTAAACACTCCTTTGGCATTTAAAGCCCTTCACAACCTGACCTCTTCCTAGTTTTCTAATCTTCTTTGTACTCTACTCTCTTTCACATACTCTATGTTCCAGCTACACTGGTTGACTTTCTGTTCCTTGCATTGGAATTCTCCTTCTCCTTAGTCCATTGCTTTTCACCGCCTGCCCCCGTACATGGAATCCTCTTCCTCTTGCTCTCTGTATCCTGGTTTTCATGGCTGCCTTCAAGGCTCCGCTCACATGCCACCTTCTGCAAAGACAGGTGATGTCCAAAGACCAGGGAAAGAAAAATAAAGAGAATGCTCACCAGTCAGAGCCCAGGGTAATAGAAATCAAAGTTTGAGCTTCAGGAGGAGGTAGAGGCTATAGCTGCAGGTAGCATTCCATGCAGATGATATCACAGTGGCATCATGACAAAATGGCGGTATGGTGGTATGTGTAACAGACAAGAAATCTGCTTCATGCTTTATGTGATCAAGCACATATTCATTTTTACTACTTTAGCCAATTATCAATTAATACATAGTACCTAATATCATTCCTTTCCGTCCAAAAATCCACACAACAGTCCTGTGAAACAAATATACTTTCATTTCCTTAAGAGAATTATAAAAGAATTTTCAGTTAAGTACATCTGAAAATGCTTATTCTTCAGCTGGGTAAGACAACCAAGTAAGTTTATTGTCGCATCAATCCAAGGCCTTCTGTAAAAAATAATAGAATTTAAAGAAGCATTAAAATCCTTCGATTTTCAGAAGGAGATAGCTAAGTCCTGCAGGTTTAAACAAAGTCTTAAATAGCATTAACTAGGTAGTGTTTTTCAATCTCCATTTGTTGAAAAGGAAATTTTGGATGAAAGCCAGACAGTTCTAATGATAATTTCCAAATTCCCCTTTAGAAAATTATATTTTTACCAACAAAGTACAGATTTCATTGTTTTAAGAAGTATTTTCCCCAGCATGTTAAATTCCAATTTTTAAAATTAATCCTGCAACCAGACAAGAGTGTATGACTTAAGGGGCAGCTAGGTGGTGCAGTGGATAGAGCACTGACCCTGGAGTCAGGAGGACCTGAGTTCAAATCCGAACTCAGACACTTGGCACTTACTAGCTGTGTGACCCTGGGCAAGTCACTTAACCCGATTGCCTCACCAAAAAAGTTTAACTAAAAAGGATTCTGTACCTAGTTAAGAAAAAAAAAGTATATGACTTAAGTCATAAAAATAAGGAGAAACTTGTTGCTTGGGTTACTTGATATGAAAATGGGATGAGTCTTAATTGATAGTATAGTGTAATTGGTCCTAGTGAGTGACAAAGAATTGTAATGTAAAACTTAGACTCACCTGTGAATTTCTCTAATATTTGACTATTCTGATGGAAAAGGCCTAAACTTACCAAATATTTGGCTTAGTACTGTCTGTTTGAACTTTACTTTTAAAGTTCTTTGTCTCTTTTTTTTTTAGGTTTTGTGTAATGGACCAGGAACATGTATTCCTATCTGTGCATCTGCCCTTCTTCTTGGGATACTAGGAATAAAGAAAGTGATCATTGTCTACGTTGAAAGCATCTGCAGAGTGGAAACCTTATCCCTTTCCGGAAAGATTCTTTACCACTTTTCAGATTACTTCTTTGTTCAGTGGCCAACCCTTAAGGGAAAATATCCCAAATCTGTGTATCTTGGGCGAATAGTTTGACAGAGGAAAAATGGTGTTTTCAGATTTCTGCAGTCAGTTATGGTTATTTTTCATACTAGGTAAGAAAAGAATTATCAGTACAGACTTTCGAAAATGTCAAGAAAATTACTAGCCTTTGTGAGGCACGTATATGATTAGTAAACTGAGCAACTTGTTTGGTTAAACAAGGAAATAAATTTGAAAACAGTATCATGAAATACTTACGGAATTATTCTCAAGGTCTTCTTTCTGGATTTGAGTGCATATCATTAACTCTAGATCATCTCCTGATTTTCTCATTATTTTAGGAATATTATTTGTCTACAGCTAAATATAGAATTTGTATGATTTGTAACATTTCCTGTACTGCAACTTTCTGTAGTCATCTACATTGTGAAAAACGAGTTCTTGTATCAGAACAGACCTTATTTCCTGTATGTAAGCAGTGAAGTCCCCAGGGAATCTTTGGAGCATAAAGGAAACAGTTATATTAAGTTGGCTTCATGACAGTTTGCATTCTGCAATCTTCCAGAACCCTAAAGCCTACACCAATATCTTTTTTCCTGGCTTACGTCATGAAAACTTCACATCTTTAGAATGTTTATTTGTGAATATAAATGCACAGGTGCCAAGATTAATATCTCTAATCAAAGAAAACTTGATTTTGCTCTAATGATCCAGTTCTCAAACATACATTAGAGAAGTACCAATTTACATTACAAAGCTTGTGCCGTCCCTGTGGTGTTCTAAGAAATGAAGACACTGAGCCACATACACGTGAAAGGATTCAAACGAGCATTAACAAGGCCAAAAGTCAAAAATTACTTCTCTCTCTCACAGAATCTGAGTTTCTGTCTTATTCCTACCTGCTACCTTACTTAACTGTTCTGTTTCATAATTGCACTATATATACATCTAGGAGAGAAATGGGTAGATTTTTCATTGAAAGCGGTATCCTTACCCATGACCATTTAAAAGTGAATCTGAGAGAGATAAGTACATCCTGGGTTGGTCTCACTCTTCTCATTCTTTTGGCAAAATATTATTCTAGGCTCAAAGTAACATAAACTCATCTGCCATTGGAACGGACACATGTGGATACATTTTTTGGCTAGCGAAGGAGGTCTAGTGAAAGAGGTCTCAGAGTAGTGAGAATACTTTACAACTTACATGCAGTGGCCATGAAGTAGCAGATCATGCAACGACTTTGAAAATTTAAAGTTTCAAACAGTCGCCTTATTTCTACTGGCCTCAGAGGCCTAGAATATCATCAGACAGGTGATTACTGTAATTATAGAGGAGACTAAGACCATGTTGGCCTCTACTTTTTTTAGAGAGAAAATCATTACTTGAAGGACAGAAGGAATTTCTGTGCTCCGGTGACGATTAGCCGGGGACCCCACAGGTACCCTTCCTTCGTAACGCTCTGTTAGACCAATAATTACAATGGTTAGTTAGTGCAAAAACAGATGCAGAAAAGATTCCATAATTTTTTTTAAACCTATTCCAGATGTTTTACAAGCCTTAACTTGGACAGTAGCTAGCCTGTAATGGATTCTCAGAAGAGGATTTGGGGGGTGACTATCTTACCCAGGTTATATAGGCCTCTGTGCATACATTTTCTTTGGAAAAGCTGGGCTAAGGCTGGTGCTGCCAAGGCCGCCTGCCCCTGCAGAATGTTTGGTAAACAAGAGCAGTGCAGCACTCTCTGTTACTGTTGTGGCTAATTCTCTTTCTCAGAATCAGAAGAGAAGAGATAATCCTTTTAGATTACCTTAAGGACATAGTTGTTCCTACTGTGCATTTGAAAAATACGTTTGCATAGAGCTTAGCAATAAGAAGGGCATCCTTCACTTTTCCTCTCCACCTGAGTTTAAGGAAATCAATAACATGTTTGTACTTTTAAATTCCTGTTAAGGGACTCTGGAATGCAGTTTCTTCTCCACTGTATGAGACTGTTCATAAAAAATCAACTGCATCAGTCTGTAAATCCTGCCCTTCAAAACCACATATCCTGCCCACACCTATTTCCTTGGAAGATTGTTATCTTTGGTTTGGCTGACCTAGAAGGTCTTTGCCTCCCTCCAGGTTAGAGGGTCCATCTATTTCAAGTGAGACATCCAAGAACCCTAACAGGAATCCTTGGTAGAGTCATGGAGACAATACTGAAGCAGTCTGCAATAAGGATCTTGTACAATTTAATCGCAGTAGCAAAAGGTGCCAGTTAAGGAGGTGATACAAGCATCTTTTTTTAAAAAAAAAAAAAAAATCTAAAACTGCATTGCTTTTAAGACTGCTAAGGATACAATTCAGAATCGAGACATTTTGTTTCTTTCTGACCATTTATTTTTACCTACTATAAATGTGGCAATGACACGCAGATCTCCATAGTTGGGGCTCACCTTCCCTGCCCTGACCACTCCTGACTAAGCAGTTTCTCCGAAACAGGCCAACTCCGAGTAAACCTGGAGCAGTTCTGTTTCCTTCCTCTCTCCTCCACAGTGGCCTCCCAAGCCCAGCTCCACGATCTCTCCAGTCTCTTCATCACAAAACTTTGGAATCATTTTTTGTTCTTCCTTGCCCTGTCTTCTGTGCATTTGCCTATCATTAGATACTCCCTTTCCTTCAAAACATCACTTGAATCTGGTCCTGCTGTTTTTCATTGCCTAAAGTCTCCACTGACATCCCTTCCTTTCATGACCTATATTATTTCTGCTCCTTCTCTTCTATTCCAGCTACCACCACCCTAGTCCAAGCCCTTTTCTTAGGCCTGAATCACTGGACCAGATTTACCTAATTTACCTCCCTGATTCAGATCGGCCTTCATTCTCACCGACCTAAATTGCATGCTGCTACTGCACTAATCTTGCTATGCCGCTTCCATCATATCACCCTTCTGTTCAAACACTAACAATAGCTTCCTGTTGCCTACAGCATCCGGTATAATCTCCCCTGTCCACATTGCAGAGCCTTCCATAGTCTGGCCTGGCTTGACTTAGCTAACTATATTTCTTGCTGCTTACCAACATGAATACTCTGATTACTCAGGCTGTCTCCTATTTATTGAACAAACACACCATGCTCATTCCCTATTCCATGCCCTTGGTCATGCTTTTCGTCATACCAGGAATGCCCTCTACCTTCTCTTCTCCTTTTCTATATCTTACCTATCATTCAAAGGCCCATTTAAGCCTTTACTCATCCATAAAGGCTCCCATGACCTGGAGCTGCAGGTCTCTTTGATCTACCCTTTCTTTGAACTACTGTGATACTTACAGTTCCTTCCACACAATTCTGCTATTAATTGTATACTGGCATACTCACAAGCACATGCGTGCCCATCTTGTTTCCCAGCTGGATTATGAATGCTTTGAATGTGGGCAGTCTTGTCTTAGATTTTTTTTAGATTCCTCTTACAGCGCCTAGCATGGTCCTGTGCACACAGCCAGCACTAAGTACATGACTGATTCCTATAGCCACAGCCTGATAGGATCATCTATTCTAGAACCAGAAGCCGTCAAGTTTGTATCTGCAGCCTCAGTGCCTGAACTGATGCCTGACATATGGGAAGAGCTTAATATGTGCTGGATTGATGCGTTGATTTTAGCCTCATAATAATCTTCACGTGTCTTATCTCTGTTTTACAGAGGGGGACACTGAGGTAAGGAGAGATGCAATAACTTGACCTTGGTCACACAAATAGTCAGTGTCAGAGGCAGAATTCAAAACTAAGTGTCTCCAGACTCCAAGTCCTATGATCCTTTACCCCACATTGCCTTTTCAGGTGCAATTCTTTTAATTATGCACAGCAGCTCGGAGCATACCACGTGTACTTGAGAATGTACTTGAGGATGTTTTTTGATGGCTATTTAACCCACCAGACAGGCATTGCAGATATTACAAAAGTACCAGACCCAAAAAGCCTCTAGATAAGTGTCAAGTGAATGAGCAAAGAGAGGTGGGCAGAGTTGGGAGGTCAGGAGGGAAAAAAAAAAAAGCAACAGTATCACCCAAGTACCTATATCTTCCTTTGTTTTTTTTTAAGAGGGTCTGTTAAGTGAGCCTCATAACTACTGAAAATTGCCTAATGAATGTTGTCGGACAAATGTTTTCCTGCTCTTATGCTCCGGCAGGACTGAGCAGAAAAAGCCAGTTTTGTAGTAGTTCAGTGCCTTGCCCCATTTCTAGAATTCAGTACCCTTAATGTGTCAAAGGGGAGACGTTTCCAGTCTCCCAAGGCCAGGGGAAGAAGATGAACTTTGGCCTCATGGCATGAGGAAAAAAGTTTCTCTTTACTTTTCTGCCTGCATGTAGCAGAAAAATAGAAAACCTGTAGATTCTTTTCAATCATTTAACCGTACACAGATGAATAAGCAAATGATTTGACCTGATTCCTAATCTCTTTTCCTTTCCTGTATAACTGAGTAATTTTTTCACTCTAATAAAACTCAGTGTTTGAAAAAAATCATGTGAAAAATATGATGGTTTGCAGCAGGAATGTAGAAGAGGGTTAGTCACTGAGCATCAAACCCTAATTATAAGTTAAGCTATTCAAGTGAAAATAAAAACAATATTTCTGGCAGGAAAAGTGGAAGAAATGGAGGCATTTTCTGAAATAATCGTACCTCAGAGCTTAGAATTATCTCTTGCCTCCCTTTTGATGAGATAGAATAGTTTGTTGGAAAGAACTCTGGAATCCGCCTGGGTTCAAATCCAACGTCTGGTACTGATTTCTTGTGTGACCTTGAGCAAGTGACCTTACCTCCTGGCATCTCAGTTTCATCAGCTGTAAAGGGAGGGGGGTGGATTAGATGGACTTTGTAGTCCCTTACAATTCTAAATCTATGATCCTATGGGAGCCATTATTGTTTCAGATTTGACGATTTGGGAGGACAGAGAATGAAGTCTTCATTTGAATTCTTGTGGAGTTTGCACAGACTAACTTAAAATAAAAATAGTACTTTTTCAAAGTCATTGATTGATTAACACCCAGACCAGGGCCTATAACACAGTAGGTCCTTAATCAATGCTTATTGAATTAAATAACACCCCAACCCATGCTGAAGCCCCAGGACAGATGTGTTCCTCCCCATCATCCTACTTGGAATGAATCTAATGTAGAAAGCAAACAGCCATGAATGGGGAAAGAGGTATAGATTGACAGTGTTCACTCTAAACCTTCTAGTTCCTGACTGAAACAAAACCAAAAAAAAAATAAATGGTTTTTTG